ATGATTAACAGACAGTCAGTGGCTGTAATTGTTTAACTATGTCTAACAAGACTAAAATCTTGGACCCCATTATAGCATAAAGCATGGAAGCCATTTCATAACCTAAGGAATAAGTTCAGCCTGACTATAAGATAAAGAAGTGTTTGACTGAGCCCTCCTGTATGCTGGAAGCACAAGAAAGATTTGAAAGATAAACGGCAAATGCTATCAATTTTATCCAGGTTCTTGAAAGTAGTATGTCTCCTCAATCCATGTTGCAATTGTTTTAAAAAACCCCTTTTAACCTATGTGTTATTGTGATATTGTTGTGTGTTTAGATACCACAGAAAAACAGGGGAAAAATGTTGACAGGATACTTGAAAAATAAAATAATTCAAGCCAATTTGAGTTAAACCTATTCTAGTCAGAAGAAGAGTCCTTTATCTGTCTTGGTCTTCAATTACAAGCCCTCTTGATGAGGAGCAGGTACTGAGGAGATGCCTCCCACTTTATTTGAGTGCCAAAGCTATCTCAGGCAGACTAGAATCAGGACAGAGCTGCTGAGAAAAGTTCTGAAGGTTTGGGAAACTACATTTCAAAAAGAAGGTGATATGTAAACTTACCTCTTTCTAACACCTGGGGTTGTTTTAGAACTGGTGTAAAAAATGCTTTCTGGGACCACACGTTTCATAAACGTTTATTTTACTGTTTAGTAGATATCTCAGTGGGTTCTGCTTTAACTCAGTTGATGATTGTAATAGAACAGAGTATGATACTGCATTTTTATTTATATTAGAATTGCTGGCCATGGGTAACTAGGGAGCCCCTAGATATAACTAAAACCTAATTAGGAGAAAAGAACATTGCTGGCTCAATTTCTGAATTGGAGGATAAAAGACACATAATTTCTGATATAACAACATAAAATCATTTCAAAATAAATAACTAAAAATGATACTGTTTTTGAAATATGCTTTCTACCTCCCCAAACCAGAAAAGAACAGCAATGTGGTATTTTCTATAGAATTGATTTGATCTTCTGTGAATTCATCTATTCCCAGTGTATATAAGCCCCAAAACTGTTTTCACTAACATCCTATGTCATTTGAGGGTGGAGGGAAGGAAAAGTTAGTTCATAAGTGGTTGATGTAAAGTGATGAGACCTTATAGGGGAGACTGAAGGACTACGACAGATAGGCACTGAGAAAGGGAAAGAGATAAAAAGAAACCGTGGTGTGAGTTTCAGGAAACCTTTGATGTGTAAGAAATATTTGGGCATTAGATTAAAGGTTCTCAACACTGACCTTATAATATTCATGATACAAGAATTAGAAGAGCCTTTGAAGAAGATAATAAGAGTAAACATACAGGCTTCTTTGAAAAATCCACGGAGCAGAAATAAACAAATAAAATTAAATCTGTCCTGTACAAGATATCCCGTTTACTGTATCAGCAAAAAGAAATCAACTTTGATCTATGCATAAAACCTGAAAGGAGAAGGGATTATAAACAAAAGGAAAATGAAGAACATAATCTAAAGAGGAGTAGCATAGAGAAACACAGGAGGCATTTTTTAAAAATAGTTCTCCAGAGTCTCTAAAGAATTACAAACAACATAGCCTCTAGAAAACAATCTAAAAGAGTTCAGAAAGTGACACAGGGAATTAATAGAAGATGAAAATTGAGCTGGAAAAATAAAGAAGTAGAAACTGGAAATCATAACAGGTATCAAGGTCTCACTAAAAGCAATAAAAATTAGAATATATACTTTTCAAAACAAAGTCATAGAGGCTTACAATTGAGAAATAAAGACAAAGAAAATAAATCTCACAAACTGAATTAGGTTAAAAGAGCTGTGTAAAAATTACTATAGAGATGACACATATAGCACAGAGAAAAGGAGAACCAACAACCACAAAACTATCATTTCTGAATAAAATGACAGAACAAAAAAATCTAACATAAAAGAAAACTTTTCTGAAGAAAAATTTTCTCTGTATATTGCAAGCATCCTTTATATCTGAAAAAAACCTTAATACAAAATAATGCTAAAACATACACTAATGCAGTTTCTCTGCTCTCTAAGGATAAAATTATATGGGCATCCTAGCTGACACAGCAAGTCATGGAATAGGGGAAAATCAGGTGCGTCTTAAACTTTTCAAAGCAGCACTTGCTAGATAACAATGGGTCTATGGCAACATTTCCAGGGCAAGAAAATATGATCCAAAACAAAGACAACATTCTCAAGCAAGTAAGAGCTTAGTAATTATGGCATCTATGATAATTATTATTAGCAAGAGATGAATCGAAGTAAAATGCTATATAAATATATCTAAAATGAAATAATCACAGAAATCATGGTTCAATGTTACAAATACTGAGATTGTAAAAATAATTACACTTACCCACACGTACACACACACATACACCAACTACCAAAGGGTGGAGAAAAAGGGAAGTGATGGGAGAAAACATGATGTGTTAGCACATCTTTTACAATCAGCTCTCAGGAGGTGCTGTTTTAAGTACTAATGTTTCAGCCACTTACAGTTCTTTCAGGATGTTTTAAAAATTACCGTTAGAGGAATTTTCAAGGAATTCTAACAATTCATAGTGAAAGAAAGATTTCTTTGAATTCCCAAGAATTTTTCTCTTTACTTCAATTTTTTCTTTGATTATTATTAAAGCTAACATCTATGAAATTGTCCCATTTTTAAAAGATATTTTATTTCCATCTCTTCGTCTTAGTATAGACATAGATATGTAGAAAGATGTTCGCCAAATATTGAAGTTATTTCTGAAGGGGAGACTTCTGAGTGATGATTAACTGCCCCCTATAGAGGGGAGCATATGAACAGTTTAGCCAGTGAATAGTTTTAAATACCCAGAAAAATGAGGTATCTTTTTGATGTTATCTTTTGTATATTCTTCCATTTCATTTCTCTTGAAGGAAAAATAAAATTTTTCCATTCAATCTGCTTATGTAAGATGCTCACAGTGGCACACTGTTAATCTTTAGAGGAATCACAAAGGAAGCTCAAGAAATTTATTTTTTCATAAATAGTTTACAATTTAATTTGATGGTCTTTAGTTTTCCCCATTTGTTTGGATGCATTGCTAACTTTGTATAATAGAAAAAACGACTTGTAAAGAATTAAATGGTGATATTTTTAGGTAGCTCTCTCTCATTCACACCTAATCTATGGCTCTCTTATCCAAGTAATGGGTAATTTTATATTTTGGAACTGTTCAAGGTATAAGGCAGTGTCTTGGGGAGCTACTTTAATGTGAACTTGAATTCTGAAAGAGAAAAATGTCAACCAAAACTATAATGCCTTAAGAATATATTTTGCTGTTTGTCTCAAGTCACTATTTTGGTTTAAAGGAAGTCCTTGACTGAATTAGCAGTTATCAAAAAAGTACAAATTTGTTCTGTTTGAATAACTGCCATTTCCCCAATAAGAAAAACTAATTATTTGACCATATACTGTGGCCTAGATTTTGTAATTTGTTACTGCTGTAAAGATCACTTTAAGCTAAATCAGTTATTTATCCAAATGTTTGTTTATAGTCATCCAGTTTGATATTTTTTTCTAAATATACTGTCATGTTGTGAGATTCAGTTTGTGTAGTTGTGATGGGGTTAACTTTACTTTTCTATTTATTAACATTTTCATGATAGAAGCTGAAATTTTGAAGATTACGATATCATTTCAAGATTGTTAAAGCTCCCAGTTTGATATATTATTTTTCAAAGTCTATCTAAAAAGAGAGGATGATGGAAGGAATCAGCAGTTACTGAGGTTTGTTAGCACAAAATATATGGGAAGCAGATGAGGAGCTGTGTTTAATATGATGGGTAATTTACAGTATCTGTGCAAATCAGATACTTAAGTATCTGTTAAATGAACAGTCTTCCATTTGATTGTGAATACTTACTTTATGCTGTAATCTACTTTTTTTTTCTTCTTTATTAAAAGTAAATTTAAACTACTTGTCCCTCACCCACTAGGTGTCTTTGCCTAGTATATATCTTCAGTTTAATTGCAGATTGGAAATGCTTTACTGAAATCATGAACTTTTATTTCTTAAAATTAATCATGATAAAATCACAAAGATAATCATTCACAGTGAGGACTATATTAACATTTTTTAAATGGCTAATAACACATTGCTCACTGTAGTTACTTTTGCAACTTTTAGTTTGCAACTTTTTAGTTGCAACTTTCAGTATCTTATTTTGTCCTCCAAGGTAAAATGATGGAGTGAGCATATTGCATAAAAACTAAGATCATTACTCTTCCACTGTCTATCACCCTGTTTATGCTTAACCAAGCATTTATTTATTAGTTCTTAATGGTAAGGGCTACAAGGTTACTACACCTGAGAGAAAAATCTGTAAGACAGGCTTTCTAATTAATCACTGGGAGGGTTCAGGAAGGTCTAGCTATTTCTGTAAACTGAAGCATTTATGCACTCTATTGCAAACGATCATGAAAATGGCAAGTAATGCTTTATTTCTTTAAGTTTCTGTAGTTACATTAGGAATAATGAACCCTTTACCTGTCTCTCTGTGTGTATACCATCTATGGATACCATCATTAAAACTAGGGCCTTTATTTACTTGAGGACAGATGGGAGACAGTTTTTCTAAGAAAGCCAGGGTAGTACCAGTATCTTAGGAATGATAGTGAAATGGTGCTCTGAATTTAAGATACCATCTCAGAACAAAAGGTTCTGAGAAAGAATAGTCAATACCAACAAATCCTGTTAGTCAAGGTTACCGTATCTGGGATCATTTGTGGCTAGTCAAGTTGTCTGGAGTATGTGCCTCATTGGGTAATTTTCCTGTGTTCACAACAAAACTGCAATGCCATTTGCAGCAGAGCTTCAGGTGAAATCATAACTTGATAGTGCTGAGGCTCTTTCCAGATTGGTCTGGATCACTGGGAGCAGTAAGAATACATAAGACGGCACCAGCCCTAGCCATATTTACAGGTTTATTCAGGAACTAATACTTCTTTCCCCAGTTCCTAGCATCGCTTTGGTGTGTTTCCTGGTGCAGAAGCCTGTACAGTCAGAAGCTTAAAGCACTGTAGATCTTAATAGCCTATTCCTCCTGCTACTAGCCAGGTCCTTGACATTGGCAGAGATCACCACCTTAGCCACACTGCTGGTATAATTTATCTCTTAAACAGTAATGTTGATTTCTTAAGCCCAGCACAGGTAAAACAGTACACAGAGATGCATTGTCACTCTGCCTGTTTTCATGTCCCTTAAATACAGTATAGCAGGCTAGGACCTGGAATCCTCCCCATCACTACCCTTGTGATTTTTCTCTTCTTCCTCCCCTTCATCCTTTCTCATTTCTATAATCCTTACATTTATGTGTCAGTTGCAGAAGAATAGTGGCTTTTAAGTATGGTACAGCCATGCAGATGCTAGCCCACTGACCAAATATTCTTTGACATGGCCAAATTTTAGTCAGGATTCTGAACATTCTCCTAGCTCCATCTGTGCATTTCTTTGTAAAATCCAGTTTTAGCAAAAGAACACTGCTAAATCAGTTTAGCCAGAACCCCCCATCTTTAATATCTGATTATCCTAGATACCCTCATCCTCTACCCATCATCCCCCAAGTGATATCTGATCACCCTGGCCTGTCTTCAGCAAGAATCCTGTGAGGTCACTTTACCCAGAACACCCTTTACCCCTGATGTTTCCACTTAGTAATTGTCTATCCACTGACCCCCACACTGCTCCTTAGGTATAAATTCTGATTTGCCCATGCTGTATTTGAAGTTAAGCCCAATCTCTGTCCCTCACTGTGAGACCCCATTGTAGTGGTCGCTATACCAATCACAATGGTCCTGAATAAAGTTTTCCTTACTGAGCTTTAATAAGTTTCATTGGCAGGGCACGGTAACCCGTATCTGTAATCCCAACACTTTGTGAGGCCGAGAGGGGAGGATCACTTGAAGCCAGGAATCCAAGACCAGACTGGGCAACATAGCAACACCCTGTCTATCAAAAAAAACACTTTTTTTAAAATTAGCAAGGCAAGGTGGCATGCACCTGTATTCCAAGCTATTCGGGAGGTTGAGGCAGGAGACAACTTGAACACAAGGGATCAAGGCTGCAGTAAGCCATGGTCATGCCACTACACTCCAGGCTGGGTGACAGAGCAAGATCTTGTCTCAATTTTTTTTTAAGTGGCACTGAATAACTTTTTTTATCAACACCACTCCTGGCAAGACTAAGAACAAGGCTGTGGACACTGAGGCCCCACTGTATTTTATTAAAGAAAGACATCTTCCTAGATGGCCGCTGCTTTCTGTTCTTTTACCAGCTGAGGATTCTGTGGGTCACTCTAAGAGTCTCAAGCACCTGCTCTCTCTACTTCAACCAAAATAGCTCTACTTTTTATGTTTTACATATTATGCTTCCACAAAATATTTTAATGCAAATACTGCTACAGCTTAATAAAAAGAACTTGATCTAAAAAGTTAAAGAAATCAATCACTTAAGGTCCTTAAACATACATACATATATGTGTGTATATATATATATATATATATATATGAACACACACACACATATATATATGTTTAAATTCTTTATTTCTAGAGAAATAGCAGCTTTGAGGAACAATGGATCTGTGTTCTCTAATGAGAAATATAGCAGGAGAGAAGAAATCAAGAAGGAGCATCACCATAAAAGGGAGAAGAAATTCAAGGAGTAGGAGTGGGAGATAATGGTTATACTGGCATAGGAGTTTTTTTTTGTGTGTGTGTGAATTGGTTTTAGTTTGGTTTGTTTTGCTTCATTTTAGGAAAAAATAAGGATAAATAGTAGAGTGAGAGGTATAACCTCATCCAGTTTGCAGGTCAAGAGTCCTGAGTTCTAGTGCTGGTTCTGTTTTATTTGGATGACTGCCTACCCACCTTAAGTAGCCCACTCTCTCCCTCAAATATTTCCTATTTCCTTTTGCCTAGTTCCATAAGCATAGAATGGTCATAATATCAGAAGTTTTAGCAGTAAGGAGAAACGGCCAAGATGGCTGACTGGATGCAACCAGGAAAAGCTTCTCCCACCAATAGAGACAAGAACATCAAGTAGACTGACACTTTGAGAAGATCTTCGAAAAGCAGGCATTTAGAGTGGCTAGAAGAAGGATGCAGACCACAGGGCTGAGAGGGAGGAAGCCAGAAACCCTGCACCAGGTTGCCAAGCACTAGCGCTCATTCCTGGCCCTGAGCAGCTCCTAGGAAAGGGGTGAGTAAAACTGGTATGGAACAGCCCACTCTTATCACGGATCTCCAGGGTCCTAGCAGTGAGAGACCCCCATGACCCACGCAAACATTTGAGTTGGAAGGAAGAACTACCCAGAGAGTTGGCAAAGACAGAACTCCAGTTTGCATGGAGCCCAGAGGGTTTGGCATGGGGAAAGCTGCAGTATAACATGGGCAAGAGTGCCCACCCTCAAAGGCTCACCACTCTTCTCTAGGTGGCCGTAGCCTTTGTTAGCTGCCAGACCTGGAGAGAGCAGCACTGTAATGCATGCAAGCCTGGGTCAGTCTGGTCTGAATGCCTCTCGGTCTGCCAGTCTCTCCTGGGATCCCTGCCTGGCCACACCAACTTACAGCACAGCCTCAGCTTCTCCACTAAAGCACTTTGTAGTGGCCATCACTACAACTCTTTTGCTGTTAGCCCTCACTCTCCCATCAGAGTGCTTTTGCAGACAGACCTCCATTGGTGTGCACTTTGCTGCTGCCCACCCCTCTGCCCCTGCTAGCATGCACTCGGTTACGGCATCCCCAGCTGGTATGTACTCACCCACAGGCTCCTCCCACCATCCCACCTGCACATGAGTGTGGATCCCCCACCACCACACTGGCATGCATGCATGGGGGAACTCACCACTGCCTCACTGATACACACATGCCCACATCTACCCCACCACTGTGCCTGTGTGTGTGGTCCCACACTTCCTCACTGGTGTGCACACGCCCATGTCCCCCAACCACTCTGTCTATGCAGTTACCCTCAGCTGCCTCACTGGTGCACTCCTGCCCACAGGCCGCTTCCCCACCAGAGTACTTTTGCTGGCAGTCCTCATTGGAGTGTTGTTTCTGGAAGACTGGGAATACCTTGGCTTCTCTAGTGCAGCAGGTGCTTGACCTTGAGGGACCAGAGAACAAAGCCACAGGCCTGGTCACTCTCCCCCAAGGTTAGAGCACACAGCCCAGGAGTGCTGGGAGAAGTCTTGGCCCCCCTGGAGGCATCCAGAAATTAAGACGCTTGACCAAACCCAACTTATACCACAGTAAGACCTTTAAGGACACAAGGAACATAAAAGCAAAAAGCCCCATCCAAAGAACATTCAAAGATTAAAGGAACATTAGCCCACACAGATGAGAAAGAACCAACACAAGAATTCTGGCAATTCTAAAAGCCAGAGTGTCTTCTTATCTCAAAATAATTATACTAGCTCCCCAGCAATGGTTTTTAACCAGACTGAAATGGATGAAATGACAGATATTGCAGTTAGAATGTGGATGGCAGGAAAGATCAAAAAGATAGGAGAAGTTTGAAACACAATCTAAGAAAAACAGTAAAATGATCCAAAAGTTGAAAGACAACATAGTCATTTTAAGAAAGAGCCAAATTGAAATTCTGGAAATGAAAAATTCCCAACAGGAATTTCATAATACAATTGAAAGCATTGATAGCAGAATAGACCGAGCTGAGGAAAGAATCTCAGAACTCAAAGACCAAAGACCACCACTCTTCTTTTTTTAACTGCAAATTCTGGGATACATGTGTAGAATGTGCAGGTTTGTTACCTAGGTACTAAGTATAATATGTGCCATGGTGGTTTGCTGTGCCTATCAACATGTCATCTAGGTTTTAAGCCCTGTATGCATTAGATATTTCTCCTAATGCTCTCCCTCCCCTTGCCCCCTACCCCCTGACATGCCCTGGTATGTGATGTTCCCCTCCCTGTGTCCATATGTTCTCATTGTTCAACTCCCACTTATGAGGGAGAACATGTGGTGTTTAGTTTTCTGTTCTTGTGTTAGTTTGCTGAGGATGATGGAAAACCACTCCTTTGAATCAATACAGGCAGACAAAAGTAAGAAAAAAAGTTTAAAACTCTCTCTCTTTGCAGACAATACAATTCTACCCCTAGAAAACACCATAGTCTCTGCCCATAGGCTCTTAGAACTGATAAACAACTTCAGTAAAGTTTCAGGATACAAGATCAATGTCCAAACATCAGTAGCATTCTAGACACTGATAACATCCCAGCTGGGAGCAAAATCAAGAATACAATCCCATTCACAGTAGCCAAAAAGGAATGAAATACCTAGCAATACAGCTAACCAAGGAAGGTAATGATCTCTACAATGAAAATTACAAAACACTGCTGAAGGAAATTAGAGATGACACAAAACAATAGAAAACCATTCCATGCTCATCAACAGGAAGAATCAGTATTGTTAAAATATCATACTGCCCAAAGTAATTTACAGATTCAATGTTATCTCTGTCAAACTACCAGTGTTATTTTACACAGAACTAGAAAAAAAAAAAAAACTATTCTAAAATCCGTATGAAACTGAAGAAGAGCCCATATAGCCAAAGCAACCTTAAGCACAAAAAGAACAAGGCTGGAGGCTTCACATTACCCAACTTCAAACTATACTACAATGCTATGGTAACCAAACAGCATGGTACTGATACAAAGACAGTCACACAAACCAATGGAACAGGTTAGAGAATCCAGAAATAAAGCTTCACATGCACAACCATCTGATCTTTGACAAAGTCAACAATAACAAGCAAAGAGGAAAGAACTTATCTGTAAGTGGTAGGTTGGGATAACCAGCTAGCTATATGCAGAAGATTGAAACTGGAACCTTTCCTTTCCCTATATACAAAAAAACCAAAATCAACTCATGGATTTTGGTTTTTTGTATATAGGGAAAGGCTGGATTAAATATTTAAATGTAATACCTAAAATTATAAAAATCCTGGAAGAAAATCTAGGAAATGCCATTCTAAACATTGGCCTTGGCTACAATTTCATGACAAAGTCCTCAAAAGCAATTGCAACAAAACCAAAAATAGACAAGTAGGACCTAATTAAACTAACAAGCTTCTGCACAGCAAAAGAAACTATCAAGAGAGTAAACAGACAACCTACAGAATAGGAGAAAATATTTGCAAACTATGCATCGGACAAAGGTCTCATATCCAGAATCTATAAGGAACTTAAATCAACAAGCAAAAAACAATCTCATTATAATATGTACAAAGGACATGAGCAGACACTTCTCAAAAGAAGGACATACACATGGCCAAAAGCATATGAAAAAAAATGGTCAACATCGCAAATCGTTAGAGAAATGCAAATCAAAACCACAGTGAGATACCATCTCATACCAGTCAGAACGGCTATTACTAAAAAGTCAAGAAACACCGTATGTTGACAAGGTTGTGGCAAAAAGGGAATGCTTGTACACCGCTGGTGGGGATGTAAATTATTTCAGTTACTGTGAAAAACAGTTTGGAGATTCCTCAAAGAATATAAAACAGAAGTACCATTGAACCTAGCAGTCCCATTCCTGAGTACATACCCAAAGGAATATAAATCATTCTACCAAAAAGACACATGCACTTGTATGTTCATTGACACACTATTCACAATAGCAAAGACATGGAATCAACCTATGTGGCCATCAACAGCAAATTGAATAAAGAAAATATGATACATATACTATGGAATACTACATAGCTATAAAAAATGAAATCATGTCCTTTGCAGCAACATGGATGGAGCTGGAGGCCATTATCCTAAGTAAATTAATGAAAGAACAGAAAACCAAATACTGAAAGTTCTAATTTATAAGTGAGAGCTTAACATTAAATAAATGTGGAAACAAGGATGGAAAGAGTAGACATTGGGGACTTCCTGAAGTGGGAGGGTGGGAGGA